CTGAGAAGGCAAAGAAGCAAATCTCAGAAAGATGGAGGATGACTAAAGAGTTTCAAGATGGACTGGACAGTGGGAATAGGGGCAGAAGCAGAACCCTTGGTGAGATGCTTGCAATGTCAGACCATGAATCTAACCCAGAACACTCATATGATAAGCTGGATGAGCAGAGATTGGGCAACAGAATCAACCCAATGATAACTGTAGGTACTTGGATAGGCATGACAATCTGCGCTTGACCACGACACCAAGGTTCGCCATTAACTGGGGGAGTCAGAATATAAGAAAGCAAAACTTTAGTGCTAAAAATTGCTCGAAAACTAGAAACTCAGGATCCGGCTGCATGCAGTCTCAGGGTGTTCCTTATTTGGAACCAGAAAATAAGCACTTGATTGATGGAAACTATGTCATCCAGAACAAGGTGAAGAACAGCATTGAGAAGAACGATCTATCTGGACAACATTCAGTGGCCTCTGAGTTATCAAGGCATGATGTTCTTTTCTCTTCTAATCATGTCACACGTGAAGCTTGGCTAATGCATAAGGATCAAAAGAACGAAATCAACGATGGAAATCTGTCCGGGCAGAATTCTGTGGTATCTAAGTCATTCATAAGTAATTGTGCGTCCGGGCATATGGTTTCTGACAAGGTGGCTGATGAAAACATGGTTGTGGACAAGTCCTCCGGAAATCATAATGAGCATAATTCTTATGTCTTGGAAACTTCAAGTCAACGGGTATGGTGCTATTTTCTTATGTTCTCCCCAACTTATTATTATTATTATTGTTATTATCCAAGTTAATTTCAGGGAGTGGGTTGGGGTGCAGGGAGTACAACCATGGTTGGATTGTAAGATTAGTGAAAATAAAACGTTTCACTAAGTCTAAAATATATGGATATTTGTTATTGGATATTCTGTAAGATCTAAAATAGTTGTTCCTCACTTATTTACCGAATGTGTTTCTTCTATAATGCTGCAGCTTGGAGCTGTGGACATTGCTGGTTAACCAGGAAAAGGAAGCAAGGAATCTCAGAAACTGATAATAATGACACTTCTATTTGATGATGGTACAAGTTTCTGTTGTCCTTGTTGCTTGCCACTTATTTATAATTTTTTTTGCTCTTACAGTAATTTTTTTTTAGATAATATGAGTTTTCATATCAATTTCATGTATGCTTATAAAACTGAAACACGAATTCCTCGTCAATTAATTTCTGACTCCAATTCTACTGATCCCAACTTCGATTCATTCTTGAAAACTGAATCCAATCCAAGCTAAAACTAAATCTCATGATATCCCCATTGAATCAAAAGCCGCTCGAAAAAAAAAATGAACTGGAAAAAATCCACGTCAATTTTTTATTATTTATTATTGTTAATATTATTATATATAAATACTGTAAAAATTTTATAAAATTAATTTTTACACATTTTAAAATTATTTTTTAAAATAATAATTTCAAAACCTAAACCCTCACTTTGATTTATAATAAAATAATATTTTATTTATCGATAACTCCAAACTTGCAACTTTTCCTTTTTCTTTTTTATGAGACTGTAGGAGCCCAATGAAATGAATCCTTGCAACTAAGAAATACTTCAATTTACTTTATCTTCTTTTGAGACAGTGGGGAACAATTAACAAAGGGGACGCAGCATTTGGACTACAAAAGTATCAACACCATACAAAGGTTCGACATTAATTTATTCCTCGTCAAGCGAACGAAAAAGCAGTGCAACACTTGGTTTAAATACTATGATACACAACTCACTATAATACGATCGTAACTTCTCAATTAAGACTTAATAAGAGCTCACATAGAAGCAAGATAGAACAAGAAGCCAGATTTTACCACATTTTGCAACGTACTTCAGGGATT